GAGGGGCCCGAGAGGGTTGCGGGTCGTTGCTGGGGCCCCCACGCCGTGCGCCCCCCCGCTCCTGCTTCGCAGGCGGTGCGGCGCCCCGACGACCTCGAGGCGACGCCGTCGGACGCCGACTTTGCGCGGCTGGTTGCCTTGGGGCGGGCCTTCGGCGGGGCGAGCCTTTGCGGCCTGCTACCCTCGCCCCTCCAGCGGCGATGGCGCAGGAGATTCGGCTGCGGCGAGTGCGGCGGCTCGCGCAGAGTGCGCTGCCCGACGTGCAACGGCCGCGGCGGGTACGAGGCCATGGGTGGCGTGCCCGTCGCGTGCAAGTCGTGCCGCTCCACCGGACGCGTGGTGTGCCGCGCTTGCTTCGTAGGCGACGGGTTCGACATAGATGCTATCCGGCGCGACATGGGAGTGCCGGATTGAGAGCGATGGGAGTAAACCGAGTTGGCCAGGACCGTTGACGTACATATGACGGGGGGCGTGCGCGCATCGTTTTCTGCGTGTAGACCGTCTGCGACACGATAATACGTTTTTCGTCGAAATGGTAGACCATACTCTCGTGCTCCCCGGGACTGCTCAATGGAGACAATCTGCGACGGTGTATCGGATATGCAACGGACGGTGGCATTTAAAGGTGAATTACCGTGAATGAGATACACCGTCGCACAATCCTGACGCTACCCCCGCAATATCCAATAAAACCACCCCCGCCTCAAACGTCACAAAGAACCCTGCACAAAGATCGCACGGGCGGGGGCCTGTTCCTTTTTACCCATCTCACAGTAGAGGTGGCTGGTATTATTTCCGGTATTATTTATTTACACGGACATTTCATTTTCAAAGGCGGTTTCGAAGCTGATGAGACCTCGTCCCCCCCAAAACCAATGAAAAGCGTAAAAAGAGGCGCGGAACAGGCCGGAAGCGCCGCTTGGACGTGGGTCACACAATGGCAGCGCTCCAGACGCGCTCTGGTAGCTGCCAATGAAGCCGTAGCCCATCGCGCGCGTGCCGGACGGCCTCTGCACCTCTACTGCAGTGCCCTCCTGCACCGAGCGACGCGTCAAACCTTTGTTGGCCCCGGGGTGGTTTTACTGCGCGATCGCATCCACCCCTCTCCAAGTGTCAAAGGTGCTCTCGTGCGAATCGGGTATGCTTTTGTGTTAACAGCGCCTGTCGTTGCTGTTTCTCGACTTGCAGGAGAGTACCACCAGCCATCACTTTGTTGGTATAGTATACCCCACCTTTACCCATCCAGTGATTTCTTTTTTAGTTTCCCATAAGTAAGGTAGGTAGGTAGGATAGGTAGTAGGTAGGGGCAGGGCAGGGGCCGGCCAGGTTTTTGCAGAATTTCATCATGACGTACGGCCAAGCAAAAATAATACACACCTGCGAGGACGAAAAATGCGAGAACGTTAAAGGAGCGGCTTACACCGCTC